AAGTGACAAAAGGATGACTGCAGAGTGCTGTACCTCAGGACTGCACTGTGCTGGGAGGGCAGGGGAATGTGTCTGTAATACTTCACTGTTATTAAGAAAATCTTTAGAGATTCAAGTTATTTTTGGATACGTCCGTTTTTGGATTCCTACCTTGAAATCCTTCAAAGAGACAGGAATTTTAGACATTTATGGGGGAAAACGGGGGTTTCAAAGTGCTTTCAAGTGAAAGACACCTGAATTTTAATCTTAAACCAATACTATCTCTTCTCTTGCCTCAGAGGCTGTACTTCTGTACTCATGAACAGTCAGTAGGGGCTCGAGAAAGAATTAGAGCTCCACCACTGTTCTCCAGATAAGCACTTCCTTCTGTCTGACAGCAAGATTCCTCTCTTTGCTGAAGTCTTTCTGTGGTTAACTAAAATTCTTTTAGGCCAGCAACTGTCTTCAGATTATAACAGACTGATAGGGGGAGGTAAAGAGAAAGAAGTATTCATGCTATTATGTCCTTAATTCATGGTACAAGTGGAACAACTGAGCAGGGGGAAGAAAGGAAGAATCTTGTAGATAAATAATGGAGTGGGATTTGAAAATTAGGGAAACTGAAGAGGATCCATCTGGATTGAGTGAAGGATGGGAAAAAGAAAGATGGAAAAAAAGGAAGTCACTGACTAAGCCCTGGCCTGAGGTGAGGTAAGGGAATGGGATGTGGAAAATTACTGGACATTACAGGAGAAAGTGCTGAACATGATTGATAAGAGTGTGAGAAAATGACTAAAGTTGCAGCCAGCACCAGGCAGAATGGCTGGGCTTCACAGGTGGTTAAGGGGGAGTTTTGTGAGAAATGGAACAGAAGGCCCAACTCTGCAGATGACTGGGGAGGTGTTCTGGAGACCTTTGGGGGAGTAACATCTTGCAAGGCACTGCAAGGTAACTGCAGCACTGAGACCACAAAAGGCATTGGAAAGGGAATCAGAACTGACAAATTTGGGATGAATGTAGCAAAATTGGGAGCAATGGGAAAAAAAGTAATTAGGTGGGTGTTGTGGAGGAGACCAGGGCAGAGGAAGTGGGTGATAAAAAGGTGGGAAATAAAGAAGGCATATTATGGTACCTAAGCACAGGATCAGCGCAGTCTGGGGTATCTGTTGGCAGCCCTGCACTTGACTGCTGCAGGTGGGTCAAGACAATAAACCAAACCCTCCCCTCTGACTGTAACACACCAGCAAAACCTTCTTCTGCCCCCATGGGAGTGAGGCAAGCAATGTGTGTTCCTGGGGTGCCAAGGGACCCCCCCACATCAAATGGCCAGTCTAGTATCACATGTCAGTGCCCAGTCAATGCTCACCAGCTTCCACAGCTGCCCATCACTCCCTGACAGTGACACAACTGACCAAACTAAAAAGTACTTCTGCAAAATCATCACTGACTTAAAAAAAATTCACTAAAACCTGTTGACAGCAACAAAATGTGTTTGGAATGCTGTTTTGGTTTTGGGGTTTTTCCATAGAAGAAATGTGTGAACATTTAAAATTCTTTCCCTAAGACAGGATTGTGCCCTTACTACCCGCAAGATATGTAGTTTTTATCAGGAATAAAAATAATTGTAATAATTCGTTAAAAATTGTTAAAAGTCCCCACAAAGGAAAATTGTTTCACACAACTCTTAGAAGAGACATAGAGGGCTTGAAAAAACCAGTCAAATTTTTCACTAAATTCACTGTTCTCTGGTTCTTTTACTTGTATGGTCTTTTCAGACAATATTTTGGTATTTATAGTAAACTGGGCATCTGTGAAGTTCTCATTCCTTTCTTTGGTCTTCTCATCTCTGCACCTCTCATTAATTCTTAAGTCAAATGAATGATTGTGTAATCTTGAATAGTGGTACAGACTTAAAAATATCATCTGGGATCATCCTGCTTTTCATTGTGTCTGTGTAGGCTGAAGAATTCTGCCTTTGACATTGTATGTAAAGGATTTATTTCTGTCATCAACTATAGCATGGCATATATACAGATTCCTCTTGAAACCTCCATGGCTGGTTGCATTTTTAACAATATCTCAGACTGTGAAGTACCTGACACATCAACCAGATACTTATTGTCTTTAATGAGGAATTATTTTTTATGCTGTCATGTTCAAACTTGAAGGTTCAGATTCCAGCTGTCTCTGAGAACCACTTTTTTCCTCATAAAGAATCTGGTCAAATTAAGTATTCTCTTCTCAGGAGGGGGCAGAGATGAGCGAGCACAAGTACAAACATTGTTTTTTTCTGCTACACTGAGCCCTCTTTAATTATGTGAAAATTGACAGTTGTCATAATTTCGAATAATAGTTTTCAGTGTGTAAATGACAGAAAAGTGTAAACTTCCTCTGGTGGCGATGGCAAGGTCACACAGAAGGGATGCAGAGAGTCCTGCAGCCTCCTCAGACACAAGGAACTCACCCAGGATCCCACCCAGGGCTGCTGCCAGTGGGGCAGGTGGCAGTGTTGGTGGGGGACTGATGCAGCAGGGAGCTGGACTATTGCCAGGCTGCCTGAGGGGCTGTGCTCCATGGGTTTCTGATATCCCAAAATTTAGCAGAAGCAATGGAGCTTGAATCCTGCTCCCATCCCCAACATTGCCAACCCCTCCAGTTCAGCTGGCAGCAATAGCACTGGCTTTCTCTAAGCTCATTTCTACAACTTTGCTCTTGACATTACTAGGCAGTAAGCATAAATTTTCAGGGGAATATTCCTATAGATTATGTGTGTATGTCCTCTTTTCTGGTCTTTTTGAAATAAAGAATCAGTTGCTTTGACTGTGGTGAGAAGAATTTAGATTTGGTTCAGAGTTTCACTGCATACCATTTGTGTACCATTTGCTTCAAGGTACTGTCCCAGTCTTCTCTGCTGGAACAGCAGATGAGGCAAAAGATGTGGGCATGTTAAATTTAGGATACTTGTAAACCTTCACATGCCACTGCTGTGGAAAACCTGCTTTTTCCTAGGTAGTACACTGTTAGAAAGTGCAGATGAAGTGTTTTGCATCTGGAAAAGGGGAAATACCAGTGTTGCTATGGAAAGTTCTTGAAAGACTTTCACTACACTATTGTCCTGGACATCCATACCAAAATGTTGAATTTAGAACAGGGGAAATACAGAGAGGGCATTCCCAAAAGAACAGACACACAAAGTCTGTTCTGTGAGAGGCAGCTTAACAGTTTTACTCCTTTAGCTCCACAAAAGAAAGCTGGGAGTTGGTACGATTACTCTTGGAAAATATATCCACAAAGTAAATACCACAGAGGAGGAAGGGACAGCACAAAACCAGTTGTTTGTAAACTGGCAAGAGATAAGTTTGAGGCAGTTTTCTGGCCAGCAGAGAAGTTGGGTTGTGGAACAAGCTCACAGAAGTGTCAGACACATGTTTCAGTGGACTTAAGAAGCACCGAAGGTCCAGCAGCATGTGGGACCCTTTGTTTCAGTCTCAGCCTGCTGTAAAACCATGCTGACTCCATGGTTTCTGCTGGGTTTTAACCGCAGCAAAATTTTTATCAAATGGCTTGTACTCTCAGTTGTGAAGTTCATTAATTTTAAATCTCTTTGAAGTGAATAGGAGAGAAGATTCTGACTTTGCTGTCGGAATGGCAAGTACTGGATCAGAAGGGCATGTCCCAGCTTTTAGGAAGAAGAAAACTTTGTGTAGTTGGAACTAAAGTTGGCACTAGAAAATCTGATTTTTTTGAAAGGTAACAGGAGAGAGTGTTCATGTTTAAATTTTCTAGCTTAGGCTTATAGCCAAGCTTTAAACTTGAAAAAATAAAATAATGTTACACAATGTGTGACAAAGGTGCAGTGGTTACAGTGCCATAATTCTGTAGAAAATCTCTTCCATTATGTTAATGGAAATATGTATTTTTACTTGCAATATAGATGTTTTCCATTATCTTTTTTTTCTCAGTAATCAAGATATGCACATAGTGAAAGCTCTGAGTGAAATGCATGATGAGAGACCATTGAAGATATATATTTCATTTGAGAGAAAAACACAGATAATTAACTATACACTGAGTTCAGTATTGTGTCTAAGAAATGTGTTATTCCTAATGAGACTACTTCTTATACTACCAGAGACAGTCTTGTAGTTTCATTAGTGAAAAAACTTCTGAGTGTTAATTATAAGAGCATGATAATGAAAATATGAGTCACAAAGTAAAGGAAAACTAAAGGGCTGTTACATATAATAAAACTTTCTGCTGTCACCACCTGTTCTGCTGGGGTATCAAATACACTGTCATAACTATGTGTAGAAACACTTCAAAGTTTGCAAAATCATCATTAAAAATTGGAAAATGGCAAAATTTAAGACTTTCTACACAGGTGTACTTGTATTCTTCACGCATATGCTTTTCAGAATCTCTCAGCACTTTTTCCATAGGCCCCTTGCCTTTTTGAGTGCCAAGGGTGAACAGTTCTCCCAAAAAGCTGTCCAGCACCTTGTGACACACTTCCTGTGCTGTGTGTGGCACCAGCCTGATTTGTTTCTTGCTGTTCAAACCGTCTCAGAAGAGCAATAGTTCCCTCATAGACTTTTCTGTCTCATTTATCACCACTGTCTCTGAGGGCTTCACAATGACTAATTAATTTAACTTGCCAAAGTCTTGTGAGATAAGGGTTGGCATTTAATTGAGGCACACAGAGATGAAGGTCAAAAGTATCCTCTAACTTGGAGGTGTGCTGCTGAGGTGCTCTGAACATGGTGTTTAAAACAGTAAAGCTTTTGATGTTCAAATTACAAATTAGTCATCTGTGTTGCAATAAATAGTGCTCAACATTTCTGTCAATCAGAACTTGAGCTCAGGACAGATGTCTAGAAAATAACGAATGGCGATGAAAAATTTGGTTAAAGTGCCTCACTTAATGAGAGGAGGATGGGAAACCTTTGGCAGATGCAGAGCCATAATGGGATTTTCTGAGGCAACATTTAACATTTAGAATGTGTTTTCTTTTCCAGCAACTCCCCTGCCTCATTTTCTAAGATCACCACCTCCAAATTCAAGAATGGCCCATTTCTGTGAGAAGATCAAGCAAAGGCAGCAGGAGGCCCACATCAATGGACAACTCAGCCATAAAGCAGATACATGCAAGGTATGGAAGCAGAGATAGCTGCTTTTTGGAGAATGTTTGTGAAAGCAATAAATGAATTCAAGGATAATCAGAAAGCCACAATTTTTTTTTAAAGAAGACAGTAAGTTTGTAGTTTAAATTATTTCTGAGGTACTGTTTACAGGTATACAAATATATAAATAATAAGTGTTGTGTTAGTGGAAAAACAAGATTTTTAGGATGTTGTTCAATGGCTGACAAGAATGAAGCCAACTGAAATGTATTTTTAACTAGAGGATAAATCTTGTTTGAAGGCTTTATAAAGGAACCTTATAAATTTAGACCAAAAGGCTGGATTTATTTTATGTACTCCAGGCTTCGCTTTGGCTTCTGATCACAAGAAAACTGATGTAAATCTGTAATATCTCCTTTGAAACCAACTAAGGTTTTCAGAATTGATGCTCCTAAATCCAAGAGAAGAATTTAACCCAAGGGCCCAAAGCCATCTTTATTGAGCAGGAGACATTTGGTCTGGCTGCAGGGGGCAGAGGCCGTGGCAGATGGCCAGTTTTCCTCCCCAAGAAGTGATGTCAGACTAGGCAGTGGATCCCTCTGGGCATTAGACATCATGGGAAGTAGCCAAACTCTCTTCTGAATGGGAGCTGCTCGAGTGAGCCAGCTGGCATCTCTTCCAGAAGGCTCAGGGGACATAGCCACCACCTAAAAGTGCCTTACTGGTTGTTGGCCTCTTGTTTCAGGGCTGCTGTGACTTGCTCTTAATCCTCATTCTTTTTGTAACATAATGTAATTTAATTTATGACCACAAAAAGTGCAACAAGAAAGGGAAAAGATGAAAAATATTATGCTAAATACAAGCAGTCGCATACTTGAAAATGTAAACATCAAACTATTCCCTAGATATGTAATTACAGGCAGCTTCAAAGAGGGGAAGGCACATTTTTTTGCAAATATATCATATTTTGTATGTGCTGCTTTTGCCTGAAAGACTGTCTGGTTTTCTGCAGGAGCACAGCAAACTGCTTTTAAAGGGATCATCAACCAGAGTTGGTGGCTGATCACTTGGTGATCCCATGAGACACACAGAGGCATGACATGGAACAGGAAATTAAAATACAAAAGCAAATGTTGCACATCTCCAGCAAGCTCCTCTTCCTTTCCCAAGGCGCTGACGGATGATGTACCAACCCACACATTGGAGTGTGGATAACAGGAGGAGCCTTCCTCTGACACATTCTCCCTTCCCCGCTCTATGAAATCAGTGCTGGAACAAACATCAGGAGGTTACACGTCTGCTCCTGCTCCATGGTGTCTAGTACCAGACAGGGAGCAGAAAGGATGTGCTGGAAGGCTGATTTTATAGCACCAGCTGTGAAAAAATGCCCTTAACAGGTTCCCATCCCAACCACTGCTGCAGGAACTGCACTGGGCTACTGTAAATGTCCCCTCCTTTGGCCTCTGCTCTCAGTCAGATCCCAAAGTCCTGTGTCACCAAAGAGACACACGTGGCCCCAAGAACCCCCATGTCTCCTTCCACATGTCTGGACTACACTGCCAGAGCGAGCCCATAGTCTTTCACTGGCAGGGTGAGTTATCCAAGGTACCCACTGCTCCCACTGCTCCCAGGGGATGCTCCCAAGTGGCCTCTCTCTGGGGCAGCTCCAGTTTTCACAGCATGAAATTTCCTTTCAAACTCCCACTCGTTGCCTCCTTCTAACAGTCTTAATCCTCTCCCATGGGAAGGCAAAGGCATTCTGGATGGTGGGCTGTGGGGACTCCCTGCATCAGTCTCTAAGATCTGTAGCCCATCTTTAGGGGCAGAGCTGGGCTGGTGTTCAGAGCTCTGGTGGAGGACAGTAAACAGGAGGGACATGGCTGTGTCCCTGTCCCAGTGTGCTGCCTTGGGCTGGTCCATGTGAGACCCACCTAAAAGCAAGCACTGACAAGAAGTTTCCTGAATAGATATCCAGGATTAAATAGATATTTAATAATTTTTTTATTTTATTTTCTAAAACATTTTTCACCTCAAATGAAGGAGCACATAAAGCTCAATACTGACTGAGATCTAAAATGTTTGACTTGTGTGTTCTTTCTAAGCAGCTTTCACTTTGTGAAACGTGTCATCCTGCTGGTGAGGAAGAGCAGATCCTTCCTCCTTTGGTACTCTTTGTACAAGCTAAAAAGAAACCTTGGCCAAAATATGCCAAGGAGAAGTTCCAGTGGATTCTTTGTGGGCGGAAAGAATATGTTTATAATTTCAATTTAGAAATTGAGACATTTCTTATTTAATGTTTCTAAACTTTTTTTCCTTAGATAAATGGAGGGGAAGAAAAGCCAGAATGCCAATAAGGATACAATAAAAAACTCTGGTAGCACAAGAATGTGCTGACACCAACTCTCATTTGAGCTCCGTGTTCATCTTTGCACAACACAAGGAGGGTCACAGAGTCTGGGGATTTCTCTGTGAGTAATTTAAACTCGTGTTTAAATCTCTCTTGTCTCTTACAAACCATTTTACCTCTGGTAAATAGTTTCTGGTGTCCTAATTCCAAAACACTCATTTGTTATGGCCTCTGTAATGGTGTTGGATTCAGAATGAGCGTGAGGTTCTATGGGGCTGCACTCGATTTGTCTGATACTTGAAAGCAAAGAGTTTAACTCAAAACCAGCAAAACTGTTTCCTTAGATTGTGGAAGAGAAACAATAAAACTTCACTGCTTACATGTTGGGAACACATCCTCAGTCACTACTTTTAAAAGTTAGCAAATGGAGCTTGTCAAGAATCAAATCCTTGGCATAACATAGCACTTATCTCTTTTCAATATTTGTTTCCATTAAATGACTGACCTTCATTTTTTTCCTTCTTTTGTAGGCAACAGTGGAGCAACACCAACATTTTACATTTCAGACAAGGGAATCAGATTATTTTTTATTGCTACCCCAAGACATTTGTTGTGCAAAGGACCTACAGGTAAGCTTTATAGCAGATGAAATTAGTACAAATAAGCCACAGGGCTGAAAGGCAGAAAACTGTAGAGGTAATGAATGAAATATTATATGAGAAAATCCAGTGCCAGACATACTAAAAATTCACCTTGCTGAAATACAGATTTTCTTAAAAATATTTATCATGAATTAATGTGAATCTATATGTGCAGTTGGCAAAAATCCCTGCACTTTTTACAAGGGCACTGTCATGTAAACAGAAAAACATACAGTAGAGAAATATAACAACACAGGAAAATAAAATACAGTAGCACATAAACATAGATTTCTTCCTTCAACATAACTAAATTTGATTTGATTTTTAGGTAATATTTGATATTTTTCTACTTTTTTTTGTCGATGGGGGGGATCAGTTGATTATTTCCCAATAGTTAAATGCTAAGACTCATTAGACAATTGATGAGTTGGAAAATAGGGTCTTCTTTCCTTGTACCTCACAGTGTTTGTCTGACAGAGTCGCTTCTGTGAGAATTTAACAAATAAATATTTCAAAGCAGGAGAAGAGACAAAAAGGGAGACTTCTTAAACCAGATACAACCAAGTAGGTGCAGTCTGGAGTATGCTATTGCAAGGATTAAAAGTGTGCATATGGTTTTTTTAAAGCCTACTTCTAAGGCATTATTATTACAATGAGTGCAGAGAACTATTAGGAATTAAAACGGCATTAAAAACTGAAAGCCTCCAACATCAATATCTGCTGCTTGATAAAACACAAACCAGTGATTAAAGTAATGATTGATAAGATCTAACTTCAAAAATCTCATTCCTGAAGATGGAAAAAGCGATGAAGACTCAGTCAATGGCAGCTGTGGTATTGATTTCTAGCCAGCAGTCAAACTGAGAAAAGCAAAGCCAAAGAATCTGTTGTCATTTTTCTTCCTGAACCTCTATATCATAGTTAGTCTGTCAACTCCAGGGTACACTCCAAAGTTGCATATTTTAATATATATACAATTGTCAAGCTGTACAAATAGCTTTATTTTCTAATGCTCATTTTCCTTTTCTTTAATTGTGAGACAACTAATCTCTTTTTCACCATCTCGCTGAAGGTATAAATTAACTCCTGGGCGAAATTTGAAGTGTTACAGGGAATTTTAATTTTGTTTTGTTTTTCTTCCTCAAGGATCAAGTTACTTTCAGTAAACAAAGGCATTCTTGATAAAAGATACTTTGCATTTTTATTTAGGCAAGTGTTGGGGCTGCCTATGTTTGCAATTAAATCCTTATGAATACTCTGCCAGATATACATGCTTCTCCAAAGAAATGCAATGAGACATCTCGTGTACATTACAGTCAGCTGTGGACAGCATTCCTTTCACTAGTTTTGATTAATATGCCACTGTATCCTGGTAAGATTAATGAACTGTGAAGGATATGTGGACACTGTCTCTTCATTTCAAAGAAGGAGTGTGAAGAATTTAGATAAACATAACACTTGGTTGGTCTGTTTTATGAGGATCCAATTGACTGTTTCTGCCTTTACAAACCCTGTGGAGGTTTTGTTTGCTTGGTTTATAGGTGGTTTTTGAGGCTGCAACTTTTAGGCAGTGGTTATGTTGATCAAGACCGACTACAAGCCATTATTTCAACAGGCAGTTAAAATTTACACCAGATGAGCTGATTTACTTTGTATTACCTACCAGGTAGTAATATGACATTTTAGAGGTGCTTTGAAAAGTCAAATTTATTGTAATATGATTTCTGTGAGAGCTGCTATATAACAGGAGTAAAACAGAAGGGTAAACAAAAAAAACCCTCAACCTGAAGTTGAAAAGAAATAAAGAAAAAAGGCCTGGATGCAGCTGTAGCTTTTCTGTTACATAAAAATCATACAGAATTTTTTAATGTCCCTCAATTAATTGTAGGTCTAATACTAAGTTTGTTTTCCACCTGCAATTTTTGGCTTAAGAATTTTTTTGCCATTTGAATCATCCACAGTGCGATCTCCAGTAATTACAGTCAAAATTACCACTGTCAGCCACAGAGAATTAAGTTCATTCAAGGCTAGGAATTGCAATTGTTTCTAATGCTTGTAAGTGACAGAATGTTATAGCCCTACTGATTTTAAAGTTTTGTAAATATGAATGTGCTATTGATTAGAAACATTTTTAACTGATTTTTTTAAAAAATCTCATTTCCGTTGCTTTTTCATTCACTATAATACATGAGTCCCTCTCTGCAGGCCTACTTTACATTTTCAAGTATGTAAGCTATGCAAGACTGAAGTATGATGAGGAGCCTGGGGACTGCAACATTTCTCTCTGTGATCAATTGTATAGAGCTGACCAATAAGCAAAAATTCTCATCTTTGTAATAACTATTCTTTGTTCTACGTGAGCTGAGTGGGCACTGAAAGTTTAGTCGTCACTAGAAGAGCTTCCATCTCTGGAAAAGCAGCACATCCATATCTGGTTGTAGCTATTCCTTTTGATTGCAGCTTTGGTAGAAGGGTTGCTAACTCAGGGATTCAGGGTCCTGAGTTACTCACTTGCTCTGAGCTGGTGGCTGGGGGTCTCACACAGACATATATTTACTATTACAGTATGGGAAGACCAGTCCAAGTGCTTTCCTCCCTAGAAGCTGCATCACAAAGTTTTGGTCCATGGATTTAGTTAATCCAGCTCATTCCCAAAGTTCTAGAACGAGCTTCTGAACAAATCTAATTTCTACCAGTTCTGGCAGATTCAGTCATTCCTGATCGAATACAGCAAACAGCAGAAGGGGAGAGAGCCCCCAGAAACAGGAAGAAAGGTGTTCCATGTTCAATCTCCAGCAATCAATTCAATAGAGCTAAAATAAGGTTTTGTTTATCAATGTTTTTTAAATTGCTACATTTTAGCTGCACATGATGATCATCAACCAGAAATCACAAAGCACAGATCACAGCCAGGAGAGAAGTTTAAGGTCACAAGGCACAGGAACATTGGTCAATACCATAACTGCAGCCTTCAGATTAAATATTAAATATATTGTTAAATTCCCTTCCCCAACAGTCAGCAACATATATAATTATGGAGTCAGTGGCATAAATATTTTGAAAGTCTGAGGAAACACCTGTCCTGAATTATCTTATACATTTAAAGGTCAGCTCTCTAGGTAGTGGTGTCAAGGTCACAGAGCAAATCTTTTTTCTGGTCAAAAAGCTGAAAGAAGGAAAGCTGGGCTTCATCAAGCTTAAAATAGTATGGGACTTCCTTTCCTAGGATATTCTGACAGACTTTTTTTTTTTAAATTCTACTAACTTTGTACACATCCTGACATTAAAGGGATCTGAGTTGTCAAATTAGAAATATGTTTGCTATGCACAGTTTTAGGTGAGTTTGCCTTTTTCCCCTCAGGCTGGTGGAACCCCTGGGCCAGTTTTTTGCTAGAACTTATTTAGCAGAATAGTACATGTGTCACTTAGTCATATATGCGAGCAGTGCCTGATGGTTCAGAGGCAGATAAAACCTGGGCACTTATTGCACTTGATGCAAACCTGCCACTCTTAAAATTTCCATTCAGTTGTTCTGTGTAATAATATGTATTAATTGTCACATAAAGCCATTAGTGCAAGTTTGACTCTTCAAAAAACAAGGACAAAATTCTTGCTAACTTCAGCAGAGCTGGGTTTTCAGGCAAAGTGAGTAGAAATCCAATCCAGTGGTGATGCTGATACCCTTGGGGACTGCTCAGGAATAGTGTGAAGAACTCCAAATGGTTTTGTCTGAAAAAAAAAATGCTGCTTTCTCTCCTATGGCTGTCCCACACTATGTTCTTTGTTATCTGTGAATCACCAAACATCCTTTGTGACGTTTATATGGCATAGTTATAAATAACTCTAACACTTGCACATTAAACAGAAGGTGATTTACAAAGTGCTGCTCAATCTGACAGCTGTTACTACAGCATAGTCAGAGTAGATTACTTGCAAGTTTATTTTAATTATAGATAGGTCTACACTGAAATACTACAGTCACCTATTCTGTACCGGGACTGAAAGATAGTGCTAAATAATAGAATGAGCTCTGTTTGCCTGTGTGAAAGACAGAGCACGGGCTTTCACGTAGGGAACATGCTTTCAAGTATCAAATTTTCACCTGGCTCTTTTTAGCAGGTTTCTGATCCAGTGAATCCACACAGAATTGGTTAGACTTCTATGTAGAATGTACAGAATATTCAGAAAGACACATTTAAAATATCAAACCAAATTTCTACCTTCACAAGGCAAAATTCACCCATCAGTCTAGGGCCACTGACTGTACTTAGGTACTAATCCCAGCAAATTTTTCTTTGAGGAAAAATTGTTATCACTGATGAGAAAAATTCTGCATTTATCCTATGGAAACAAATAATGAAATGCATCAAAATTCAATACTGTAGAAATTGCCTTATGGATGAGGAACTGTCCACAGATCTTGTTTATGAATTTAGCAGGTGAATTGATTGACTCTTTGCTGGCCTTCAATGTCAAGAAGACAATTTTCAAAACTACTAACTCAGAGAACACTTATGCAAATCCCACGAAGCCATTACATCACCTGAATGATTCAGAATAAGAATGTTGCATGATATGGTTCATGACTCTGACCATGTATAGTGACAGTTATGAGACCAAGATTTGAACAGTCTGAATTTTGATCTCTAGAAGATCCTTACTTACAGTAAATACTGAAACTTTTGCAGCAGTCAGAAGAAGTTACATTGTTCTTTCAGGAATATGTAATTGTAATAACCTATCAGAATAATAGGTACTCCAAAAATAGTAATGAAAGACAACTTCAGTATATGCACTGTAATACCTTGCACTCTGGGTTTCCTAAAATAGGTCGCTGGCAGAGAATCTCTGGTTCTATATTAAATGGCAAACCTTAATAGAAAGTGCTTCACTTCTCTGAGATGATGTGACCTTCTCACCAAAAATTACTCAATAGTAGTTTCAGATACTATTTTGGGTGACTCTGCATTTGAACAAATGTTGTCATGAAGTAATTCTTACAGCTGAACAGCATAGCAAGGTTACATGTATGTTCTGTATCCAAACTTCCATCTGTAGCAAGTGCAGTGCAGTGGGTTAACACGTATATATTAATGTTCTTATGGAAAGCCTGGTCAGTTGTGTCAGTCTCTCAACACAACCTTGGCTCATCAGGGCTGAACTGTTCATCATGTGCCCTCTGCTGCCTTGTAGGAATGGTCATTATAAATCACTTTCTACCCCAATGTAGATACAGATGGAATCAATTAATTACTGCTTGCCTGCTCTGGGAATGATCAGCAGTGCAGCACAGCTAAACAATCCTAATCTCTAGGAACCACCTGAAACCACTAAGACAAACCCTATCTCCTCGCACAGGGGAAGCAAGAGTTTTGGAAGCCCTTGAGGCATACGAGTTGCCTGCAGTTACAACCAGCTGACAGAAAAGCCAGGAACAGGAATTAGGTCTTCAGCACAGCCTGTATTACTTAATCCTTTTCATGAAGAGCTGAATGGAATTTTGTGGTATAATGTAGCAGCCAAACTTAGGTTTTGGTGAAAACAAACAATCTCATTGAAGGTAAAAACAACTCCAGGAACAAGGAGGTCACTAAAAGCCTAGGCATGATCCTAGATGGGCATAGGATGTCCAAAGAAATGTTGAAGACCATCAGATGGGTGCAAAAGCTTTGGTTTTTAACTCTAGATTTGCCTAATAAAAGATACAGTTTAGTGTTGCATGCTCTGATAAATCTCTGGATTTCTTGGGATCAAAACTGGATTTTATATGGCACCCAAATCCTGAAGGATGCAAGTATCTCCAAATGAGAGGAATGCATACCAACACAAATCTGCTCAGATTCACAATTTTAAGGCACTATTTTTAGGGCTTTCTGCACATTGCAAAGAGTTGTAATTCTTTATTTTTAGAACTGTAGCTGTTTGCAGTAAGGTAGCATTAAAGTCCCTCAGTAAAACCACTTCCACTGCTATTAAAGTGGCAGTCAAACCTGATCCCAAGTCTGAAGGAAAGATGTATCTCCATCAAGTTCAAAGGCCTTCCTTTTGAAACCATAGCTGAAAGAACTCCTTTGTGTGTCAAGACTTCCAAATAAAGCTAAATCCTTATTATGTCTAACTTGGAGAAAACTTTTTAAAAGTAATTGTTCGTGGAAAGGATGTGGATTTTCAAACCTTATTCACATTTGCAAGTGCTTGCAAAGTCCAGCAACTTTATAGAATGGAATACAGACCTTTGAAACCACCCTTATTTTTTAATTTCTTTTCAGGGTCAGTAGCTGAATCTTATTTCTGGTATTAGAACATTTGTTTTCATCTAAAAAGCTTAATACAGAAGACCTGGAAACTGCATTGTTCTCTTGACTAAGAACTTCACCTCACAGGGCCTGTATTTTTTTGCAGCTTGCCATTTCATTTCCTCAGAAACTTCTCTGCCACCAGTCTCTTTACAAGCAGAAAAAGGGATTTTCTGTCACTCAGAAGAGAAAGGGCTGAGGTAAGATCTATTTTAATTCATAAATGGAAGCTTGGATGAGTCTTTCTGAGACAAAGAATTCCAGTTTAGGTCTTCATTTAACACAGTACTTCCAAAGCATGGGTAACATCAAGTGTTTGAGTCAGGCTGTTGGAATCAAAGGAATTGTGAAGAACTTAAAATGTTGCAAATGTGTATCCAACTCAAAAAATGTGTGTCTAAAGAATTATTTTATTGTAATATTTCCATGGTTTTGGTAAAAGGATTCAACTGTATGATTCAAATAATCAGAAAATTTCATACACATATATTTCAGTGTTTCAAACATGCAGCCCTGAAAAAGCTGGAAGACTTCTTATATCTCATCACTGTTCCTCTCTCTGTTTAAAATCCTCAAAAATAAGTGAACCTTCATGAACCCATTTAGCTGATTTCCCTCTTTTCCATGAAAGCAGATGCATCTAGCTCTATAGGTACAACTCCAGCTGCTTGGTTAAGACTTTTATTAGGCAGGTTTATTGTTGTCAATAAATATATGAAAAAGAGCAAGTTTCATCCATAAAGGCTGTGGAAACTACGGGAAGTCATTCAAGGGGAGGTAAAACTTCCCACCTTGTGCTTTATTTTAATTTGTTTCGTTTTAAGGTTGTTGCCTTAAAAAAATATTTAAAGGGCTCAACATTTTATTTGTCAAATATTGAAATAGAGCAGTGTGTGTGTGGCATGGGGAGCTTGCTGGAATAGACAATGGCTCGTGGAGTACACGGTGTCTTGGCAGGAGTTGATTTGTTCCTGGACACTTTGTGGTGCCAGGAGGGAAGGGGTCCAGCTCCAAGTAAACCTGCCTTTAAGAATTACTGATGCACAGACCTTGTGCTGGCCATCAGCACAAGAGAGCAGTGAAGGCCATTCAATGCCATTTTTCTTTTTCACACAATATTCAAGATTAATAGGAGTTTTGTCCAAGTGAGGTACAGCTTCCCTAGTAGATTAAGATCTGCCACCTCTGTTTATGTTGCCTTTTAATTGATCTCTTCTATGTTTAGAAGTTCAAAGAAAATTTTGCAGATACTAGCAGGTAGAGAGAGATGGAGAGAAAGTATTTAATTTCAAGATCTGGTTGGGTTTTAGGCTACTTTTTTTAACTCTCACTCTACATAATGCAATTGCTTTCAGGCTTTCCTTCATGCTAAAGCATGACATCTATTAATTGGAGTGACATAATGCAAATGATTAATTGGGTCCTGGTCAAACCTTGTGAAATGCTGAGCAACAAAAACCAGTGGAAAGGAAGGATGGTTGGCAATTTCAGGCCTATTTCCTGTATCTTTTCCTAAGTAATTCCTAAGCAAATTTCATCTGTTAGTAGGTAGGTAATGGCAACCACAGGGAGGGTTTTCTTAGCTTGTTTCAGGGATTTTTTTAAGGGTTATTATAAGACCTATCTTGGCCCAAGGTTGGTAGCTTGAAAATTTACTGGCATCTTTTCTTTCAGCAAATTGAACTCAGAATTTAGAACTAACCTTGGTATCAGGAGTTTCCAAGTAATTGATAAATGAGTATCAAACTGCCTTTGCTTGGCAATCAAGAAATGTAGAGGCAATTATTGTCTTTTTAAAGACATAACAATAATGGACTCTTTGCTCATAATTACAGTGTCAAGGTCATCAGAATCTGAAAGGAAATCATATACTGCCTCTGCTCTGCTCTCTTCGCTATTATAACTTATTATTTCAAATTTCTTTGAGAAACCACTACATCTCTCTGTAGAAAAAAGAAGAAAAAATCTCTAATCCTGATAAGACCTTGAACTGCTTGCAAATCTCATGCTGTATTGGATTATCTTTTTTGTCTCCTTTTTGCTGATTGGAAAGAATCATGTATTCCCTAATGCCAAGGACATTTCTGCAAAATTGGCTGAACAAATGAACCAATAACCCCAACCTGTACACTTATCCTCAGTATAAGAAGAGAATAAAGTGAAAAATAGTTCTCTGACTGTGTATGCAGAGACAGGGAGAGAGGAAAAAAGTTGGGTGTTTTTTTTAAATTGTCTTTGACATTTTCAAATAAATAATACTCAAGGAGAAAAAGCAAAACTCTTGCCCTGAAAATAAAATAAAAGCCATTTAAATGCCAAATCCTAGTCACAAAACCTTAGTGCTTTAGAGGCTGGATGGCTGACCTTGAGAGAAGCCACGCTGCAGTAACTGGATGTGAGGAGGGAAGGGGCTGGAGCCAGTTGTAGGAGGCACACTCAGCCCTGTGGTCACTCCTCTGGGGGGACTGCCAGCCCTGGAGGGCAGTGGAAGCCCCACAACACTCCAGTGTTGCTGGAGTAATCTCCCAGCACCAGCTGCTCCCAGATGGGAGATGTGCTGTCCCTGACTAATTTGGCCCAACGTGCTCTCACGCCTTGAGACACTTCACCAGAAAGCCACAACATCTGCACACTAAATTTTTAAGAGACTAAAATTAACTTGGGATCATTTTAGGCTACTGTAATTATACTTTGGTGGTGGAAAACTGCTTGGACTTCCTTTCTGCTTGAGTGTGACTCCTTCAGATGATCAAACCGTGCCAGTAAATGGAGCAGGGCTCAGTCTGGGCCGTGGCATCAGCACCCCACTGTCACAGTGCTCACAGCTTGCACGGTCCCTGCACATCTGCCGTGGGCAGCAGCACCAACCACGTGTCTGGGCATGGCTTGGGGGACAGCACAGGTCACAAACTGCTCCCAACGAGCAGTTTGGATGGTGCCACTCTGTCTGAGGAGTGAGAACAGTTGGCTGTGTGGACATGGGATCAGCCATACCATTGACCTCAAGCCAGAAAATTATTCTCAGTTCATTCTCTTTACTCGTAGAGTTCAGGCTTAAGGGTTTTGTCTGTGCTGAAAAATTCTACTTTCCTATTTGGGAGCTTGCCTGCATTTTCCTGCCTCACTTTCTCTGCCACTTCAAGCTAGAGTGAAATCATGTTTATCAGTTAATGGTTCATACACTGTCTTTTAGAAACTCGAATGTTTTAGCTCTCTTTGTGCAAAATTCTGCTGCATGTTGAGACCACTCATTCTGTATCACGGGTAGGGTGGTGTTTGCTGTCCCACTGGTGTGCCAGGAGAGGAGAGCACAAAGAGCACCCCAACATATTTGGGGCATAGCTTCCATAATCCCAGAGAGCAAGGACAGAAACTTGTATTCTGCTGTGTGCCCAGGAGAAACACAAGTGAAAGTAGTTTCATTCCTGAATTTAAGAGTAAAAAATAGGCTGCAATTTTAAGAGTTAAAGCATGGAGAATACCTTCCCTGTGCATCAGGAAGTTCCGTGTTTGAATCAGAATCTTCTGCAGAGTATGACACAGGGCTGAGCTTTATGGATATGGTTTTAGTGGGTCAGTAAGAAGAGGGAACCAAGAACCAGAGAAATAAAACAAAACAAGTAATATTTCTGGAATCATTCAGTTTGATCATGTAAAAAATCTGTTTTTTAAATAAGAAGTGTGGCTCCTCGATATTTTGTTAAGAGCCATTACATGCGTTCATAAATCTGTCACAAATTGATTTTCCTTAATTTAATTTTTAAATTAAATTATTTACGCTTTTTATTTAGCATTGCAAGTAGCAAGTGAAAAATAGATTATATTTAAAAATTCAATTAAAAAAAAAGCAGTTAAGTGCTTAGTTCTGAAGATTCATGCTTTCATTTTGGAGGAATAGGATTTGGGTTGTTTTAATTTAATTGACAAATTCCAGAACTATCCTTAAAACTACATAAAGCTGTCTTCATTTCTTGACATAAGTGCACAGAAAATATTAACTTCCAGTCTGTGTATTGATTTTTTGGTCTGGAAAAAACAGATTAATATTTCATATTATTTACTTCATATATATTTTAATTAAGACTGATACACTAATCAGTCTGCCTCAAATAATCTTCTAAAGTGTCTCATGAATCCTGCTTACTTTTCTTTCATAATACTGATATGAAAAAATAATTTCATTTCCAAAGCAATATATCTGAATCCACCAGTCATAACACATTTAATAAAAGACAGAAAATCTATGGGCAGGAACATTATTTTCCTTATAAGCTGTTATGTTCTTGTTTCCTCCCAGACATGCACCAAGTTAAGTGCAATGCCCAAAGGTTTGATGAAATTAGGCTTTTATCAGAAGATCCAGCTTGAGAAGCAAACTCAATTATCCTCAACTGAGCTTTGTTTGACAAGCTATAGTTTTCTCTCTCTAGTCAATGTTAAATTTCAACTGTTAGACAAGAGCTGAGGCTCCCACAGGTTGTGGATCCTCACCTGCCTTTGCAAATGAGCAGAGTCATGTGAGGGGAACTCCAGCGTGAGCAAAGCCCAAAGGGTGATATCCCACATAGTGCTTTAGCCAGTGAAGTCACTGAGAATCAGATGGGTGTGGATGATTACAGTCATTTAGCAAAGGCTGCCTGTGACATTGAAACATTTCCCTCAAAACAGCCTGATCAGACAGGACACTGGCTGAGAGCCACCGAGAGCTCACTGCACATATTTCACTAATACAGTTAAATACTTGTGAATTTTACAGTATGTCAAATGTATGCACTCCACACTGGAAACATGCCTCCTCCAATTTTTCCTTTGTAGGAAATTTCTGTCACAAAACATTGTATTCAGGACTTAAGCTGTTACACGGAGTTTTTTTCACCATAAGAAAATCTGTTGAACTTGAATATATTTCTGTCACCTTTAATCTTTGTATAATATTGTACAGACCGTTTACATTTCCCATGTTGCTGTTACAATGATCATCCGAAATAGGAGGTTTTTATTTGTTATGAAGAATTGTATCCATCTGACTGACAGACCCTCACACACTCCAGAAAGCAGATTTCCCTGTGTGTTTGCGTAAGGGATGTAGAAGAGTATCTGTAGTGTTTAACCTCGCTCCTGATGAAAAAGTGATAACTTATTACATCTATGGTGTATAAGCTACGTTTGTCACAGGTTTTTCATGCACTTCTTTAGTCAC